CAAACTTCTGCCAGAAGAATGCATTGCCAAAATGCATGAGAGACTGCTGATCCTCATCAGTGAGATTTCTGAGCTTGGGAAGGAGCTCACTATCAAAGAAGTCAATTTGAAGATTCTCAGAGGACTACCCTCACTCTGGAAGATGAAGGTCATTGCTGTCCAAGAGAGCAAGGACATCAAAACCTACCCCACAGAGAAGCTGATCTCTGATCTCAAAGCTTATGAGTTCGAGATGCATGATGGTGAGAAAGAAGAAGTGCCAGATGAGAGAACCACAACTGCTCTTACAGCCAGCACTTCTAAGGCAACAAACTTTGATCCCTCAACTCTTCTATCTGATGAGTATATGGCTGCCTTTGCCAGAAAATTCAGAAAATTTATGAAGAAAGATGGAAGGAGTCCATCTTCCATCAGAAGACCACATCAGAAGACCAAATCTTCTGAAAACAATGGAGAGTACCTCTGCTACAATTGCAGACAGCCTGGTCACTTCAAGGCTAACTGCCCCTTTCCCAGAGTGTCCAAGAAGCAAGGACACGAAGAAGAAAAGAAGCCTGAAGATCAATGTGCGAAGGCAGCCAGGAAAAAGAGAGTCACCCTATTTCCTGGTCTGCAATGTGCGAAGGCGTGTATTGTATTACTGGATGAGCCAGGAAATAGGGTGACTCTCTTTTTTATTAATACATTTTTGTATTGTATTACTATTGATTATGGTTTGGTGTAGTTTATTTTTCGTTTTTTTTTTCAACTACAATTTTTTTATTCAACAAAAATATTTTGGCAAAAACAAAAAAAATCGAAACCAAACCGAAATAAATCAAAGCAAACAAACCGTGATTCGATGTTCGGTTTTGATTAAGCTAAAACCGAACCATTTGAACCAAATACATATATCCTTATATGAAATCATTTTATGATGATGACTTGTTTATCATTTATCATTTATTATTATGTTTATTATTATTATTATTATTATTATTATTATTATTATTATTACTATTATTACAATTTTTATTACGTTTACTATTATTACTATACTTACTATTATTATTATTATTATTAATTTTATTATTATTATTATTATTATTATTATTATTATTATTATTATTATTATTATTATTTTCCAAACAGGAGTAATTGCTTTACGTTTTGGTATTACTAGACTTTAAAAGTGTTGGTAACCTGTGAAAATTAAACCAGATAGTCAAAGACGCATGCGTGGTGCAAATTTAGAATCCATTTGGTGACTCTGTTTTTCGGCTTATCAGACTTATCATCCAACTTTTTCACCAAACATGTAACTTTTGATTCTGCGCGCTGAGTTGTGTAATAATAAGAAAAAGTAAGATTGAAATTACTTTTCTCGCTGAATTGACTGAACTAACTATGTATAGGACAAATTTAGCTATTTTTCATATGATTTTTGGCTTTTTGCTTTGTTTTATTAATAAAATCTACATTAAATATAATATTTTTAGAATATAAATGTGCAGAATTAGCCAATCCAACTACTTCGGCCAAAAATTCATAAATTTCAGCAGATATTATTCATTTTACCATATATATTATATATTCTTTTCCTTTATTGGTGTTTTTCCAAAGGGATTTTCCAACAAGGTCTTTATCAAAAAAAAAAAAACAAGGTCTTTAACGAGGCATACCCATAGGACAGTGCTTCCCTCGAGAGTTAGTAACTAGATTGGATTGGGTTTAATTAAAAAGAAGTCATCGAGTGATGCGGTTAACAAGGGGAATATGCATGTGTTTCACTCTTTTTCCCTTCATTGATGGTTTATCCCACTAGATTTTCCTCGATAAGATTTTAAACAAGACAGTGTTACCAAAGCATATAAAAAGATTCATGTATAATAATACTAATAATAATAATAATAATAATAATAATAATAATAATAATAATAATAATAATAATAATAATAATAATAATAATAATAATAATAATAATAATAATAATAATAATAATAATAATAATAATTTCATAATGTTCTAATAATGTTATTACTATTAGTTAGCAATATACCTCCAAGGGGAAATCTTATTTAATGTGTGGATGTCTACTACTTTTCTTATTCGATGTGAATATATTATATTTATTAATTATCACGGTTCACGAGTAATTTTAAGGAGCCACATGTGACTCTCTTATGGAGGTCTCCACTAAAATAATGTGTGGTGGGGATGATGCCACAATAGCCCATGTGATTCCATAAGACTATAAGAGAGTCACATATGGCTCCTTAAAATTTTTGTAGGGTTCACCCGATTATATGATCTATAGTCCTAATCTCATATTTAATGTGAATGAAGAATGTGGCCGGCCTTTAATTTGATCTGGTCTATCATAACTAAATATAAGGGATATGTTTAGCTAAAGTACATTTGAATGAGAAATTTTCAATAAAGGACAAATAATAGGGCTGGTTTTTCAAAAGTTGAATGCAACTTGAAAGCTTTTTGTAAAGTCCTATGTTTCCGGAGCATTTTCAGTTTGGAATTACAAATTAGAGGAAGAAATTTTTGAAAGAATTTTGGGCACTTTAAAAAAATAATGAGAATCAAAAGTCGGAAAATTTCTTGTCTAGTTTACAGCTCATATTTTATACGTGAGTCTTATCTTTTATTAATATATAGGTACCTAATATATATATATATATTCTAATATAAGCAGGTAACTTGAAATTACCGTAAAATTTGTCATAATTACTAAAAGAAAATTGTCTCATCTTTTCTTTTACGATATTTTTATTATGTTTTTTATTACTATTTTTTAGAGATGAAAGTTGTCGGTGTGAATGTCATTTACAAGAATATTATTTTTAACTGTGTCTGCAGTTATAACCCTAAATGTGTCAAAAACTATAAAAATTAAAGATGTTAGTTCAGATTTGATGGTGATGACCAAATTTACAACATCTCGACCATTGAAAGGTGACATTTACAAATTCAAAAACACAAGGAAACATTTCAATTTGGGTACTATCTAAAGGGATGAAAATGCAATTTTCCTTAAAAATAATGACCATATTGCTCACTAATTGCTCGGAGTTTGTAGTTCTAACCCGCAGGTGTATATAGTTTGAACTGGTTATAGAGAGATGAAGTGTATAGTATATGAATGAATGTAATGTCCCTGGGTTATATGACCCTAGGAGCCTATTTATAGGGAAAATCCGGACATGAGCCTCTAATATGGATCTGACAGATCCCATTACCAAAGGGCTGATAATACAAAATGCTGATAGACAGGAGGTCAAATATAATATTGTATAATAATAATGTATGTGGGACGGTGTTCGGACCCAATAGTCGGGAGACCGACGGTCTAATATAATAATTCATCCCTAATAACATTGCCAAGTTTGACCGGCACGGGGATTAATAAAGTAAAAATAGTGTGGTTGAGGTTTGTGTAGAGGAAAAAGAATTAACTAGAACCACAAATTCTTTACTTAAAAGGGAAAGTGTCAAAGTTAATGGGACATCTAAAAAAGGAAGTTGACAAAGTTATAAGGGACGTAGGGAGTATACTCTATCAACTCTTATTTTGGGAATTTGTAACAATAGCTCTTATTTTTGCATTTAGCTCATGTCTTATTCTTGTTTGAGGAATTCATTTTAAATATGAGTAAAAAATGCAAAAATTTAGCATGAGAGTATTGTTTCTCTCTCGTGCGGTGATAAATTGATAGTGAATAAAATTTAAATATGGTAGTTATTTGTTGATTTGTTTAAATTCAGAGTTACTCCAAATTGAGTTGCAATCAAGGAAATGGGAGAAAAAAATGTATCTTTTCACTTTTAATCATGTTTTGAATATAAATCGTGTGTAGGAGGATCAACCTTAGTTGTTTGAAAGAGATTTACTTCTGCTAAAAGTGGTTCAGCCAGATGATATTCCTGAAAAGTTGAATTTATTTGAGGCAGAATTTTGGGTACAGGTTCACAATGTCACTCATAAATTTAGAAATCTGGTCTCTGCTAAGAGAATTGGGAATTTTATTGGTTCCTTTGTTAAATTTGATGACAATCAACATGGGGTTAATGGAAATCATATTTGAAAATTAGAGTCTGTATGGATGTTAGGAAACCCCTGAAGAAGGGTACTACTTTGAAAAATTAAGGAAAGGGACATTGGGTAGATTTCAAGTATGAGAAATTACCTAATTTATGTTTTATGTGTGGAGTGATTGGGCACTCAGATAAATTTTGTCCTCTGAAATATGAGGAGGGGATTGTTCTTGAGAAATCGTTTGGGCTTATCTTAGGGCTAGTGGAGGGGTGATCGAAGACCAGCCCTACAGGATCTAAAAAGTGGCTAGTTAATGATTATTCAAGCTTCGGGGGATCCGGGCAACAACGGAAGACTGATCTCGAGGACGAGCAGTCGGCAGAGACTGGTGCTAGTGTGTCAAAGCAGGGGGCGGACAATATGGAAGAGGTGCCAGGCGAGACAAAGCGTAGGAGGATTTGGGAAGGAAAGCCAAAAGAAATCACAACAGGAGAGGACATGGCGTTTGATGGACAAAAAATGGGGAGGCGGCGGGTCAGGCCTTCTAGACCTGCCGGTGTTTCATTTGGTGATTCTGATCAGAAGATCACATGTTGATTTTTATTTGTCTTTTTTGTTGTTATTTCCACGGTCAAACTTCATGTTCTGTTTTTAGTTTTTCGTCTGCTGTAAAACTCTTGCAGTAGGTTTGAGGATTAAAAGGCCTACGGTAATCGTCGGTAGCTAAGTAGCTTTAATTTGCCCAAATTAAGTCTACCGAGTTATATTGCTTTGTCAAAGGTGATTAACTCATCAGAGTCTCGGTACCCTGATGAATGCTATTTTAATGATATAAGATTTTCCATTAAAAAAAAAATCAGAGTTACTCCATAAATAAATTAAAGAATATGAATACTCCCGGTTCTTAGGATCGGCTAGCTAATATAAATATAAAGCTTATACAAGGCCGGGGATGAGCATATTCAATAATAATGAAATAACCCACCACCAGGCCAATCCAATCTAGCACCATTTTTTTTTGTCACACTCTGCTAGAATACAAAGCTGAGAGTAGCTAGTGTTAGTAATCGAGCGAGCGGAATGGGTGTGGGAAGAAAACGGATGGTCCGCCTGCAGCTGATGATGCTTTTGGCTTTCCAGCTAGTTTCTGCTTCCTTCTTCATGACCAGCTCCGCCGCCGCCGGCGTGCAGTTTCAGACCATGAAGGTGATCCCTCTCGCAGCAACCCAACAGCCGCGTCCGCAAACACAGAGACCGGCGGCAATTCCAAGTGATGCCACAGAGGATCCCGCCACCGCCGCAATCGAACTTGACTTCCTCAACATCCACGTGGACACGCTAACTCCGGCGGAACTGAATGACCTCGACCACGAGGCCCTCTTTCACAAACGCATGAAAAGCGACGCAGCGAGGGCGAGGGCTCTTTCCATGCAGGCGAAGCGAGCTGCGGCCGCCGGCGGCGGCGGTTCCGCCATCACAGGAGACGCCGTCAGCGGGGCCAGTTTAGGGATTCTCAACTACTTCACCAGCGTCTGGGTGGGCACCCCTAGTCCACAGAAAGCGTCCTTGATTCTCGACACCGGAAGCGACCTCATTTGGATGCAGTGCCGTCCTTGCAAAAACTGCTACAAGCAAAAAGACCCGATTTTCAATCCCGTCCAGTCAAGATCCTATGCCGACCTTGGCTGTGACGATCCGTCGTGCCAGCTCCTCATCCCCGACGGCGCCTCCACAGGCTGCGCAACGCAACACAGCCAGCGCAGTAACATCAAGACGACGACGTCAAGGCAGACTAATAGTACTGTTAAAGTGTGTCCGTACAGATATAGGTACGGCGATGGCTCTACCACCTTCGGCCACTTGTTCAAAGACACGCTGATGCTCGGCGGCAGCAAAGTGAACATCTCACTCGGCTGCGGCGTAAACAACACCGGCTTATTCGGCGGCACGGCCGGTTTGCTGGGGCTGGGGAGAGGGAAGTATTCGTTTCCGGGTCAGCTGGCGGCGGCCGGCGGGCGCTATTTGACCTACTCACAGAAGTTCTCGGTTTGCCTCCCTTCTGACTCAAGGTTAAAATCCACAATAGTTTTTGGGGACTCAGAAGAGGTGAAGCCGTCAAAGAACGCCACTTCCACCCCTCTACTCAAGAACCCTTTCATGGATACCTTCTACTACCTTCAGCTGGAAGGGATTAGCGTGGCAGGAGAGCGGGTCCCTGGGGTTGAATCCTCTCTGTTCAAGCTCAACGCCACCGGAGATGGCGGGCTCATAATAGACTCCGGGACGGTGCTGACCCGTTTGAACCCCATCGCTTACAACAGAATGAGAGACGCTTTCCGGAATGCGGCCCGCAACCTGACACTGCTAACGCCGTCGAAGGGTGATCTTTTCGACACCTGCTACAGCCTCGCAGGTTTTAAGGAAGACGACACTCTGGAAGTACCCACGGTGACTATGCATTTCAAGGGTGCAGATGTTGCTCTTGACGGTTTGAACTATATGATAGGGATGAATGTTAATGGCACGGCGGCCATCTGCTTCGCGTTCTTGCCTTCCGATGACAGCTTTAACATTTTTGGTAACATGCAGCACTTGAACTTCCGTGTCACCTACGACGTCCAGAATTCTAAAGTCGTCTTTGATCCAGACAGATGCTCTTAATATATACGTACTCAATACAAACACGCGCGACTAAAACTTAACATGCATCTCCGTTGTCAAATGTCGCCTTCATGTGTACCAAGTCCGGCCTACATATGTATCCGTACTACTCCGGCCAGCCACCGTATCCATTCCGGCCGCCCTGTTTATTTCCTCATGTATACCAAGTACTGTGCTCCGTTTTCCTCATATATAAGTATTGTCTTTTTTTTGGGTCTTCTCCAATTTTATCATACTATTTTCTCTTCATATTTGATAACATTTTTGTGGTTTTAATTCATTCTTACTTTATTCTCACCTTATCAATTCATTATTAATCACATAATTCTATTTTTCTTAAGAACTACGTCACTTCATTTCGTCCCAATATTAGGGGACCAAGGTAGTATTATATACTTGCTTCCCTTTCTCCATTGTCCGTTAAAATTTGATGACTTTCCATATTTAATATGGAGTCATATGGACGGCTTGAGCAATTTTGATAACATAAAAATCATAAAGTTGAGATAAATTGAATAAAAATACACCAGAAACAAAAGTACATTCAAAGCAAACAATATAATATGAACATCAAAACAATAAGTTTTCATCAAAACATCAAAACAATATAATGATATGCAAAGTAGAGAGTAACTTGTGTTAGACCCAAAGATCACTCTTGGGCTCAAGGCATGAAGTTTTTCGAATGAAAGAGAGGCCCAATCTTAATTGAACCAGCTGATAGTTTAAGTCAGACCGGTGTGGACGGTAAATTATACCGTACAGCCGGCTGTACGGTGAGCACCGTACAGCCGGCCATTTTTGTAATTATATCTGTATCGGTGCAACTCACCAGCGAACGATAGACAACCAAATTCGTTGCTCTGTCCCAGTCTCTTCCACGTTCCGGCGAATATGCCTCTCGCTCGCTCAGTTCTCTTCTTCGTTGGAATCGTTGCTCTATCTCCGTCTCTTATTGCTTCTTTAATTTCACAAGCAACCAAGCAATTAAATCACATCACAATAAAAACCATCTCAGGTCAAAAAAAACTCAAGCAATCAAATCACAATTAACCATCAAATTTCCACTTCTATGAATTCATCTCCAAATAATTGAATTTCGATATGATTTATGTCCACTTGTATGAACTATGAACTCTACACATTCAATTTTGTGTGTATTTTGCCGGAGTCATTGGGGAAGACACTAATGGATTTCATCACGTCGGCTTTCCTATTTCCCGCAGCCACTTCATCATATACAGAGTTTTATGTTAAACTCAAATGAGTATAACTTCTAAAATGAATGTGTATGCACAAATGAGATTTTGGTTTTTTTATACTCATTTTGTAAGTTGTGTATGCTCATTTGGTACCGGTGTTCTGCTCATTATATATTAACATGAGACTTGATTATAAACCTAGGAGCACAAATCGTGATGTTCAACCGCATGATTCTAATACTCAATAGAGAAGATTGGATACTCAATTAAAATGTCTGTATGGTCAACTAAAAAACTTATGACTTTTATATCAATGCTCATTTTATATGTTACATATGCTCAATTGATACTGATATTATGCTCATTTTTAAACTGTCATATCAATGCATATTTCAAAAGTATCATATTACATTAGATTCACATATTGAAGTGCAAATTTGTTGATTATAGATATAATTTAATAAGTTTCTATAAAAGAAAAAAAAGTGAATTAGAAGATATGAAACAAAGATTATAATGCTCAATATTAGATTCCTAATAATCAACATAATAGGTCTAGTGTTAATTAAAAGTTCATTAATGTTCATTCAACTCAACCATTTAAAATATCATGACGTCCAACTAACAAACCTTACGATTTTCATATTATGCGCATTTTGAAAGTTGTGTATGCTCATTTGATACTGATAGTATGCTCATTTTTAAAATGACGTATCAATGCATATTTCAATAGTACCATACAACATTAAATTTGCATATTGAAGTTTATAAAAGTTGATTATAGATATAATTTAATGGCTTTTTATAAAAGTAAAAAAAAAAAGAAAAAAAAAAGTGAATTACAATATATGAAGTTGATATCACAATACTCATTCGACTCTTAATGCTCAGTAGAATACGTCTGATGCTCATTAAAAGTGTATTAATGCTCATCTAACGAAAACCGCGATTTTCACTGAAATTACGAAAATGCCACCGTTTTTTAGTTGTGATATCAGTTTTCCTGTAATAACACGGAGCTCATTATTGGACACTTAATACTCATTAAAATTGGACTATTGCTCATTAAAAGTACATTGATGCTCATTTAACAGAAACCGCGATTTTCACATTATTACAAAATTGCCACCGAATTATTTTGCTATTTTTCCTTTAAGCCTCTTACTGGGCCGGCTGTACGGTGCCCACCGTACAGCCGGTTGTATAATATACGTACTCGGTGTGGACGGCCCAAGCCTAGCAAACGTGAAGATCAAATCAGTTAAGACTAAATTGATTCAAGGGGATAAGAACCAATTTGGATAGAATTGATTCAATTGAAGACTATTAGCAACAAAAGGACGAATTGAACGGAAGTGGCCTACTAGCTCGCATGGTGAGTGCGAAACTTGAGGAAGAAGAGATCATATCCATGTAGACTACGATCATATACGATCACAAAGAATAATACTTCGTACTATATTATGTAGATTAATCCGATTTGCTTAAAAATTGCAAAAGATCATTATTAGTTCTTGCTCCTATATCTCAATTATCATCGATTCATACTTGCATGATTCCCATTCTTTGACTATTATCATAGATTAGTTTATTTTGCATAAACAATTTGGCGCTGTTTGTGGGAAATTCGTGCAAAGAAGAATGATCATGGTCGGAAGTACAAATCCTCTGTTGGTTGAATTCCACGAGCAACTAGAGACCGCCAAGGAGGAAATCCAGCGTGAAATGGCTCAGCGGGTCGCCTACATTCAACGAGAAAATGATGTGATGCGCTCTCAAGTCCAGTCAGTGGCATCTATAACTTCCAACTCAAGATTCAACCGAAGTAGTGATGCCATGAGAACAACGACGAGATTGAAGTTGGGCTCCACCCCAATTTCGACCGAACCACTTTTTTAATACGACAGAGTTGTTATCTCTCCCATTGGGACTGACACCGACCGATAATCATCCATCCACGGTCATCTCGCTAGTAATACCTTATGAGCCTCTTGTTCCAGAGACAACTCCAGCCCCCAATATTATCCTGATGTGCTTCTTTCCGGAATCGTTGCGAAGTAAATCAGTGATGACAGGTTTGCATTTAATCAATCAAAACATGCCGACTTCAAGTGTCGTGTCGGCTCTAACAGACACTAGTGGAAAAAAACACTCTTTATGTCGGTTAAAATCGGCTTTTAATGTCGGTTGTAGACCCGACATAGATCCATCTGACATTAAAAGCGGTGCACTTTTCATATGGGGTTGAAGACCCGTTACGAAATGTCTTCTATGTCGGTTACTATCTGAACCGTTATAAAATGCAGTGCACATTCAATATGTGGTAGAAACTTATGACCGTTATTGAAAACATGCTTTTTTAAGTATATTCTTCTTTGTTAAGTAACCTAAATGCTTTTTTATTTTTTACCAGTAAACTTTGCATTCCTATATTTTAGGAATTTTATAGGTCCAAGACCCCAAAGTTAAGTCTACCATCAATTTTGGACCTAAAAGATATTTTGAATCAATAAGGGACCTGAAACATCCTATACTATCAATTTTGGACCCGTCTATTTAACACCGTCGGTTTATTCTGGACGGAATAATGATGTCGCTGCAATCTCATTCAGTTACGCAACGCCTTCGCGCAAAAACACTACCCCTTCACAAAACTTATACAGCCAATTGAAATCTCCACCGGCTTCATACATAGCGAAAAATTGTTTCTTAACAAACCTTTTCCTTGATCATCACAAAATTCTGAGAATTCAATCTCACAAGGTTTCCATCTCATCTTTACAAACTTTTTTCACCTTAACAAAATTCTGCAAATTGTATCCTACAAAATAATTATATTATCATCATCATATTCTTTTTAACTGTAGGTCTCGTTTTTTTCTTCTTACAATTTGACTATTAATAACTCTATATATACATTTTTTATGAGTCATCAAAATCAAAATCATTCCGTGAGACATCAATAATTTCATAACATTAATGTTAAAATACCGGCAAATAGAGCTTTGATGTGTTTTTATCCTTGATGCCTAGATATGTTCCCTTGTTTCTACATCAAAAACTCTGCCAATTAGTAATCTCAGGTTGGCCGATTTGATGAGCAAGAAGAACTAAGACAGTGAGCTTGGAAGACTTAGTAATCTCAGGTTGGTTTTGTTTTGAAGATAAGGTGACGATAATGTTTTAATGTCGCTGAAAAAAGAGATGACATGTCTCTTAGTTTGTTAATACACCCGTATGGGCTTAGTATGTTTTGTATAGTTTTATTATTGGACTAAGGGCTTAGTTTGTACATTTACTTGTATAAATATACTTGTAATAGTTAATACAATGAATGAGAAAATATTATTCCCTAAATAACTACTCGTTCAACATGGTATCAGAGCCGGTAATAGGCTAGCCGATCGCGTCTTTGCTTTCTTCTTCCTCGACGAGCAGGACTAGCGTACTTAAACTCGGGGATATGGGAGATGTTACTTCGCCGTATTATTTGGGCTCGGGAGATCAGCCTGGAAATCTTATCACTCATGTGATATTCAAGGGAGACAACTACGTAGATTGGTCACGCGTGTTTGCTCTTTCCTTGAAGGCTCGTCGGAAACACGGCTTTATTGATGGTACAATCAAGGAACCAACTGAAGCGGTGAAGAAGCAGTAGTTAGTTCGTTTATTGTTGGCAGTTAAGTTGAGGTCTTAAATTAGTTGTTACCTCAATAGTGGTATCAAGACAATCAGCTCCAAGTTTTAAAGAAGAAAACACATGCTCTCTTTTCTATTTGTGACTTTGTATAAGTTGTGTTCTTGCTCAAGGGAGAATGTGTGAGGGGAGGAAGTTGGTGTTGTGGAAAATGAAAGGTTAAAGTGGACTGAACGAAACTGATTTTAGTGCTTAATTAGGATTGGAGCCCTGTGTATATCACGATTCATTTTAGGGGTATTTTTTCTTGGGATGCAAATCAACAGGGAGTTGTAGCTGGAAGTTTAATTAATATTGCAACAGTTTTTTATCT